CTTACTGATGATTTACCGTGACTAAATGCAGTGACGTGACATTTTAAACAATGAAGATCATTTTAAAGATAGTAATCAAACAAGGGATGTATGAATAAGGATTGATGAGGATTTGCTCATTTCCCCCCAGATATTGTTGGCATGCCCTAGAAATGTTAGTAGATCCTAACAACACCCATCCAACTCATGAAAGTGATGTCTGGTCTCTTGGTGTTACCATGTGGGAAATGTTTGCTCTCAAGAGGCCGTTCCACAGCAGTACTTCTTCTAGTCCTCTGCCACGTGAAGAGGTATAAATAGATAATCAAAGTTTCTTTTCATTTGTTACAGAGTACATAGTTTACAAAACCTTTTGTTTTGTCGTAGATCCTAAAACGATATTACAGAAAGCAATACTTGAGTACAGAAAGGTATGATTAATTGGTATAATAAGATAATAAAAGTTTTCTGGGTGGTACAACTGCTTGGGTCTAGGTTTGTAGGAGTGTTTTATCGGGTATAAAACATGAGTTGCAGCCAAGTGGTTTTAAACCCGATAAAACGAGATCTGCAAGTTTATTAAACAGCTTAAAAAACTCATGATGTATTTTCTCATATTGTACCGAATAATTATTCTTTACGAAATGAACCAAGTTTGATACTAGAGAAAATCCAAGTTAAAGTTATGCAAGTGAAGGCRAATCTATATCAGATGTAATACCTCCTTCATGGTCATGATTTCTAGTGTGTTTCCTTCATGAATTATTAATGAGTTTTTTAGTTGTAAATATAAAATGTAGTTGTAGTGTGTGTGGAGGGAACCTCAAGGAAGAGCACTATACTGTGAGCAGTGGTTGTAAAATATGTTTTTTTAGTTGAACTTTTAATAATTAATTTATATATTATTATTAATTATCATCTCATCATCATCATCGCCATGCATCAACACCACCTTTAGCATCATCATCATCATCATCATTCTTATTATGACAACTTAGAGATTTTGAAATAAATTTGAGCTGTCAGTAAGTGAGTGAAGTTTTTGAATTTACCTGATGTTTTTAACCTCAACTGATTATAGAGAGAACCTACCAGAAGCTGTGGCAGTCGTAATCCAAAAGTGCTGGAACCCACTTGAGGAGGTAAACTATTATAATAATATCCAGTATTAAGGATTAAATATATCTGTAACTTTCTGTTTTGGATTACTTTTAATGAAATATATTTCATCCTAACAGGACCGCATATCATTTTCAAACATTGTAACTGCTCTACGTAGCCTCATCTTCAGAGCAAGTACGTCATTATCAATCCTAATTATACTAACTAAATGATTCATTGAAAGTAAAGTTCCAGCAAGTTCTCCTACTTTCATGCTCTCTATAAGGGGGTACTTAAAACACATAAAAAAGTATATACAGTTATATGACGTGTAAGGTTAATTATTTTACATTACATGATTATCTTAACAGCTGCAGAAGAATCCATGTCATATTCACATGAATTGATATTAGAACAAAAGACAGAGGACTGGGAGAAGCCAATAATACAAACACAAGAGAAACAGCCATCAAGCAAACAATTGCAACTGGTAAAAATATACATTTAWCTAATAATTACATTGTGATGCTTACATGAAATGTTCAATTTATCGGATATGCCAGCGAGTTGGAACAATGTTAAATCTCAATTTTATCATGAAACTTTACACATTTTATTATTGTCGTTCACAGATTACAGCAGGTGACAGCTATTCTATGATGGCCCCAAATGAAGACAATAATCACCCATTTGGATATACATTAAATACCATTCGGGAGAGAAAAACAAGCTTACATAGAACATTTTCTGATCCTGGATCTCCTACACATGTTTATGAAGAAACTATTAATGAAAACTTGCTAGTACTACCTCAACATACAGTCAGCCTAACACGTACATCATCATACCCACAATCTAAATTCTTTACCCAACAAGAAAGGTCTTCACCCACAGGGGAAAACGTGGTTGCCAATGATGCAACTGACGAGAAGAAGGCAAGGAGCTTCACCCAACAAGCAGCAGACTGTATGGTGTATCATGGATATGTAAGGAATACTACATATGGGGTTACTAATCATGATAGAGACAACCAGCTGAGGAATGACAGTCATTTAGAAGAGGATCAGCCTACAATGGATGTAGAAGATGAAGCTATGGAGTTCTTAAAAACAAAGGTTTTAAAAGTGTCTTTCGAGCAAGAACACCAAGGACTTAAAGATAAAGAATCTAAAGAGCAGGATAGAACAAATCTAGAGCAAAAAGAACATAAAGAAAAACATGATTCTGCGATGGATTTCTTGGGAAGCATAATGCGACAAAAAAGAATTATAACTGTTCCTTTATGCACCCCTCCACAACAACGGCCGTGGCTTGGCAGTAGTACCACTGGCCAGTATGTACCTCATTTGGGTGTTTCCAGCCCACTTCAGCCAGGCAGTAGTACCACTGGCCAGTATGTACCTCATT